TCAATCGATCCATCATATACAATCACTGTTGGCAATTGTTCACAAAATTGTTACGTATGTGACGTTAATGAAACTTCATATAATGGTTTTATTGATGAATTTCGTGTGTATACGCGTGAATTAAATGCGAGTAATGTTCAAAAATTAACAATTCAATCAAAATGAAGAATATTCTGAATATAATATTTGAAAACGAAATGACATCAAATTTGATTGGAGATATTGTCAAGACCATTGATTTTATCAACATGATAAACTTCAGCAAAAACAATGATTATAACCAGGACAGTCATGTATCACTATTACAATCATAACTCTCAGAATAACAATCACTAAGAGAACTAAATCGATCAAGATATACACAAACATCATTTAAATAAAAGTTGCAGTAACATTGACATTTCATGTGATCTCTTGATAAGGATAATATTTATATAAGATTTCACAGTGGTTTGAGAAAAAGAATTGGAAAAAATGTTCATCCTGTACCGATTACTATTTTAAATAATTTCAAGTGAACATTCGGGTAGTTGATACATATGAATTTGTTGTTCGAGAATATCAGATTTGAAATTTTATTAACTCTTTTACTGATTGAATTATCGATGAGGGTGAAGGTAAATGTTAGTTTCTTTCCTACATTGATTCACTGGCGTCACTGAAGCCCTCAAGATTATCGACTTTTTCGAGCGATAAAAGTAAGAATAATAAGGAATAACGTTACATTTCTCCAATAGACAGATCTTTACTATTAGTTCCTTAACTACCTTCATGATTACTATTGATAATATGAGCCTATGGTCACATGAAAGATGTTGTCGATAATATGAAACTAACCGTTCATGTCTCGATCCTGTCCATTCTTCTGTTGCAGCAAGTACTGGTATTTCCTTTGAATCCTTAACTTTATATTGCTGAGAAGCACTTAGATAGAGATATTTTGAAAAACCACGAATTAATCTAAAATCACCAAATGTCACATCTTCCCATGTATTACAATTAAACTCCATTCTTGTAGTTGGATCTGTAGGAGCACCAGTAACCTTCTATAATCTTTCTTCCCATTCATGATCAAGAGTAATAGTCTCACTTTCTTCTTGGTCATAGATGAAAATCGTTCGTTCTGCCGACAACCACCTAAATTCTTGCACAAACCGATATTGACCACGTGATTATCTGAACATTTCCAAGTAGAAGTAGCAAAGAACAATAACATGCGAAAAAAACACTCTGATTGTGCGTTTATTTTTTCTATAAAAAGAAATAAGAAAATGTGTATTCGATTTGAGGTTATTCAATGTTTAAATCGTAAAATTTACACTCAAAATGTCTGCGAATGAAATTACAACCGTTTCTTGGATTCGAATCTTAATGAAGATACGATGAAACTGCGTCTTCATTTATCTATGTTTCACTTAACAATCGCATCATTCTCATATGAAATCCATACTTCTATACTATTTTAATAAAGTAAAGAAATTCACCGGAAATAGTAATTTTTTCTCCAATTCTTTCCAGCTGAAGCAATAGAGGACTATGAGAGGAGTGTCTGGCAACGAGCTCGGAATTGATTTCAACTTTCTGTTTAAGTTATTGCTTGTATAGTGGTTATGGAAGATTCAAATCTCAGTATATGAACAACTTTCATGAGATCGAGAACATCGCGAAAGATGTTTGCATAAGGGTAGATCGCTATCAGTATCTTTCTTTTTAATATGTAGATTTGATAATTATTCAAATCGTAACATGTAGTATAGAGGAATGAAGAAAAGTTCTCTTTAAAGGTGTTTGATAAAATAAAGATGTTGGCGAATCGCCTTTCAAACCCGCCTGTAAGATTGCGTTTGAATAGTTGTAATGTATTGCATTCGATTGACCTAAAAACGAAGTAAATTCAGTGAAAACTATGAAACGATATCAAATGTATTTTTCGAAATCATTATGATTTCTATTTTACAATAACTGAAATCGTTGTTGGCTTCATATTAAATGTAATTGGATGGAGTTTTATGTTGATTCTTTTTGAACACCGCGATGCATCAAATCGAACGATACACGATGATGAGACTGAAAAAAATTTAATTGAAATCGATTCTGATGTTCTAAATGGTTTGCTTTTTTTATTCGAATCGTTGATATCTTGGCATGACCTCTCTTTAATCTGTATATACTTCATTTAAAATGTCGACCGAATTTAATTGAACGTTATTCGACGAGTAGCGTTTGAATTCACATTTTCTTTTCATTATATTCCGTCTAGCGATTTGATTAGATGTTCACACTCTCCTGACCGGTCTAAATAATCAGAGAACAAAAAATAATTGAAGATGAAGAATGGAAATCTGAGATCAATTTTAATTAATCGATTTATTATTAATATTTCTGAAAAACTTGACCAATGGTCATGTCGAGGAGAAATTCCAACGTATGATTTGTTTTATAATTGTCTCTCATTACGATTCTTCGTCTATCTAAGTTAACGAATAGTAAGATTTACGCCACACTCTAAAATCAAATCTTTAATTCTAAGGTATCGTACATAAAAAAATATGGCTCAGTGTTTTATGATGAAACAATTTATATAGGATAATAAAAATCAAACTTCAGCAAATGATTTTACGACAGTGTAGGATTACTATCACTTCTACCGGTACGAACGATTAACACCCGAAAGAGCGGACGGGTATTCGATAAACGCGTTCTTTTTCAATAGTATGTTGTTCATTATTAGTAAAATATGAATATCTTCGAATAGTTCATTGTTCTTCTTCAACATATCCATTTATATTCTAATAAACCTTTCGTGTTGACAAATCGATTGTTTGAAATTTCATTGGTTCATCAAACAAATTGGGATTTTTTTCTCCTCTGCGTAATAGAGAACTTGAATATTAGTATAAGTTGTCGCTTCTGCATGTTTCTCGAAGTTCAAGTGATATATCAGAAAGAGCAAATTCTTCGCCATGCAGCTTCCGTGTTTCTTTAATTCTCCCTGGATTGTTAATAAATGATTTGTATTCGAAAAAATGATCACTTCTAGTTTCTTGAGCTTGAAAACTTCGAGGGAGAATATGAAAAGATATGATACATCTTTGTCGACATGTTGTTTTGATTCAATTCTCTTCAAGTCAAAAAGGCTTTAATAGTCCATTGACTGTTTTTGCAAATCGGATGGTTTTTTCATTCGATTTTCTTCACTTCAGACTAAACAAGTGGTAAATTTCTCAGCTCCGATTTAATCAAACGTGAAAGAAATTGTATTTAAAATAGATCTACATAGAAGAAATACGCGAAACTTCAAATCGCAAAAAAAGTTAGATGAATTATGTTGAACGGATATCAATCGATCGAATAAATGCTTCTTCATTGAATGATATTCGATTTGAAGATGTGTTCGAAAGAAATATCTTATAACAACATATTTTCACTTCAACGATCTCAAGCGAAATCAGACTGAACAATCTTTAATCTTGATGGTGAAAGTGTCAGAATATCCGCGGAATACAATTTAATCTTTTGAGATCTGAGTTTTTCTTAGAATTTGAGGCTAAGAGTGTGAATATTGACTTTTCTTTATGAAGCTAAAATGACTCGTGTCGCCCGTACAACTTCCTCTTTCCGTAGATGAACTTCGTTCTGTCTAACTAATATTTGTTGACATGTCGGAGTGACTTTGTTCTTTTTCTGCCCAGCAAACTTCTGTCGAATTGCATCAAACGATTTTCTCCATGCCATTTCAAAACGTTTGTCCAAAAAAATAAGAATAACACCATCTAAACACGATTCGAATGTATTTCCAGCCGTCGCAATGAAATTAATTTTTCCATCAATTGTCTCGATACATAAAAAATTTAATATCATCAATGGTGTCCATAGAATCAACCAAATCGTATAGAAACAAACATAACGATAGATTAATCGACGATAATGATTTCGCTGAATTATAATTTGCTGTGATTGAGTTCGTTTAAGAAACATCAAACATTTAATCGATGTTAGAAAAGTAATTCCAATTGGTAAAGCAAACAAAACACTCATGTTCCATATTCGAATCGGAATCGATGTATAAGTTAAAGAACAACTTGATCCTGCTGTTCCAATAACAATGCACCAATTCATTTGATTTTGAACAACTATATTAATCAATATTAAGAAAGGAATGATGAAACAAATAAATAATATCAAATGACGATGAACTGAATAAATCTTTTTGTTATAAACAATTTGACAATAACGACAAATATTAAGAGAAGTTAAAAAGAATGGCTCAAGCATATTGAAATACAATGTAAAATATCCTTCGAAATAACATAAAGCATTCCATGTTCCTGTTGACATTGTACTACGAATAACATATTGAATAAGATATCCAATAAACATAAACATATCTGTTGAAATATAACACACAGGAAATATAAAACTCAAATCAAATTTAATTCGATGAAGAAAAAATTGAATCCATAATAAACAATGAAGAAATATACCGAAACATACAATCGAGAGAAGAAAATCATTTTCATATAAAACTATTGAACTCCATCTATTTGTCGAATTATTTGACAATCCAACGATCATTTTCTAGAAGTTTTAATAGAATAAATAAAAGATTAACGGTAAGACAATTTCATTTGTATGCTTTCTTGAACCCATTTATTCGTATATGCACTTTCACTCGAAATAATGAGTTTCTTTTTCTCATCGGATGTTTTATTCTTTGTAGCACATTATTTCCTTTAGCTAAAAATAATTCTCATGTCTCGCAACTATACTACTTTCTTAATTATTTTCTGATTCTCTAAAAGTCTATCTTTTCTTTTTCTTGAACAAAAAATCCGGATTCTCTTTTGCTTTTTTATGTTTCATCATGATCCAGGCCATATCTTCTTCGTTATAGCATTTTGTTTTCAAAAATCGAGAAAAACATTTGGTAGAATATCTCCAATAAAAAAAAAATTAACTATGTTTTTAAAAAATCTAATTTAGCATTAACATTTGTTATTAATACCATGAAATATTTTATTGCTCATATCTGTAACAATTAGTTTTGCATTCTGTTCTTCCGCAGGGCATTTTCATTGCATTTCTTTGTCTTTTGATTAGATTTTGTTGTTGTTTAAAATCTTTTACATAGCGTACGGGTACTTCTTGTATAATCCAAAGAAAAGCAACTATTATCGATATGTTTAAAGGCAATTCTCAGATTTTAAACAAATCAAAATGTAGATTTCTCATGTGGACTCGGAGTTTTGCCTTGTTGAAATCATTGAGAATAAACTCTATAAGTATTATCAACGTGTTTTTCCAAATCTGTTGATATCTCATTAAAAAAATACTTTTTTTGAAAGTGAAATAAATCAAACTCAACACGCGATTATCTTCTAACCATTTTCAATGTTGACTGTGATTACCTTTAATTTACTTGGATATATTCATAGATGCGCGTTGACTTTTATGCGCTGACTACGCTCGAGAAAACGATGTTGGGGAAAACTTTGGAATTTTTGCTTGAAAAGAAAAGATTTCCTGTCAGCTTTTCTGATTAAACAATACATGTGAATATGCCTTTTGAATTCGATGTACCTATACAATGAAAATGAGATGTATTTTGTATATCATTTTATATAGTTATTCAATAAATTAGATAAATCATAAAAATGGCGTCGGATGATATTATTTCTTGACTTCTACTTTCGATCTATTGTGACTCTAAAAACAACAAAATTTTTTTCAGTTATATAGGTGAACCTTGGATTTCTGTTTTTTGATTTCTAAATAAAGACATTAACAATTGGATTCTTTTTTTGTGTATCAACCGTAAAGAATACGGATGAAGGGTTTTCTTGAATTTTCAAAGTCTTCATCCACATCTTTATATTGATGATATAAGAAAATTAGTTTCATCACTAAGAGAAATAAATTTATTTTTAGAAGATGTTTATCATTTCATTGGTGTATTTTCTACCAAAGAATTTCCTGAATACCTTTTTTGATAATGTCTTACAGGAAGATCAGGAGTATTGATTGATCAATTGCAATCTCATCAGTGTCGAAATACGATTAATTAATTAAACTAATTGTTGTCTCTCTCTCTCTCTCTTCTCATATTAAATTTAACATTTTGTTTTTCATCAATTATCAAATTCACTATAAAACCACCGGGGCGAATTAACGATACACCTGTTACTTTTCTACCGAAAGCTTTACGAAATATTTTCAAGTCCGACGGTATCATATCGACATTGATTTGCACGCATTCTAATGTTGCAGATGTGCACCAATGTTTATCTTCTGTAAACAATTCTCAACCAGTTTTGAATAGATCAAATGTCGAAATTTGTTTGTTATTTTTTGATACCAATATATGTGGAGGTCGTGTTCCAAGTTGACCATTCCATTGATCAGATTTTTAAGCAGATGAAAGTTCATCACTGACACCAAGAACTGAATATAATTGACCGAATTCCATCGCCTGATCGACAATGATCATAAGAACATTTTCGTCTTTATCAGCAGCATCATCGGCAAGAAACACCTGACCAGATGAAAAGCTATCTGCAACTGATGCCCTACTTTTCCGATGACTTGTCGCAAGATTTTGATTTCTAAATGTGATCTATCAATTGTTTTAAAAGTCATTGTTTTTAATGTTTTTTTTTTGTCACGTATTTTGTCATCCGAAAAGATCAAAATCCGGCTGTTTTATTTTGAACTGTCTGACTCCCGACTGTAGATATTCTTCAAGTTGAACACGAAACAGAACACTTCGTACAGAACGAATATGGCCACTTCTACTACGATTAATACCTAATATTCTACAAATGGGACTATCATGACCATCTGTCGCTATACCAAATAGTCAGCAGACAGAGTATATTGTTTTCCACTACACTCTCGTAATTGGGCAACTAGCATCGTAGAAAAAGGGCCGTTGACAATCCAACTAATCCTCCACCGACAAAGTAACGCTAATTTTGAATTTTTTCCACTGATAAATATCTATGAGCTAAAGTGCGAGAAAGTGTGTTGAGCACTCTACAAGGAAAATAAGTTTCTCAATATGTGATTAACTACATACTTCAAAAATATTTTTCAGAACGATGAAAACTTTGAAACAGTCAACTTTGAATTGATGTAAAATCATTTTGTAAACTACGAGGAAAATAAAGAGAAGAGAATTCAGATCAAGTGAACAAACGAAAATTTATATTGGATAAAACTTTATTTGGGTAAAAGGTGAAAAAAAAAACAGAATAGAAGTACAAGATCCGATAAAGTACAGACAGACAAGTACAAACAAGAGAATATAAGAAGAAAGAGAAGAGGATGTTTGGGGTAAATAAGAGAAGAATACCTGAACTATATTTGATGTCTGAAGAGAAAATAATGTAGAGAGAAAAATATTTCTACATGTCGTGTTTTGTTCAGATCGACAAACGAGAGAAAATCTTATCAATTGATCCATATAAATTTATTAATGTTATAAGAGAAGAATAAACGAAAATCTTGGTACATTAGAAACATTTTCATGTTCATCTGAAAAACAAATAAAAATTCAATTTGAAGAATATGAATTTCTATTCGTTATTCAACGAATAATTTGCCAAGTGAAAACATCTTGATCTAANAGATCGGGGAAATGATCGTGTGATGAAATGGAGAAAAGATGCACAGGAAGGAATTGTTGTCGCTGGTGGAAATGGAAGAGGAGAGAATCTGAATCAATTGGATGGTCCTGAAGGAATCATTGTTGATCATGGGGGTCGAATTTATGTTGCGGATTTTGCGAATCATCGAATAGTGCGATGGTGTGAAGGAGATGAAGAAGGTGAAATAATTGTTGGTGGAAATGGAGGAGGGAAGGAACCTAATCAATTGTCTTCTCCTTTTGGTTTATCATTTGATGGTGAAGGAAATCTTTATGTTGGCGATAAGGAAAATCATCGAATTCAACGATTTGACTTGATCATTTGAAAAAAGAAAAATTTCATTTTTGTTTTCTTTCCAGTAAAAAAAGAAAATTCGTTGGATTTTTCAAATGAATATTTTATAGAAAATCATTTGAAAGGAAAATTCAACACAAAAGAAAAAACGAATTTTGATGAAAAATTCGAACGAAGATAAAGAAAAGAATCTTTCAAAGACAAATAGTTGAATAAAAATGATTTTCATCGAGAAATATTCATTAATTTATCGATCTAAAGAGAAATTCTTTCATAGAAAGATGTTTTTTTTTGGAAATAACACGGTGCGATCGTTGACTCAAACGAGATTTCGAAATTCATAAATGAAGAATTTCTTCATGTTCGAAAAAAAGATTTTTAATGAGAAAAATGAAATTAATTTCAACCGAAAATCCAATTAACATTGGAAATATTTGCTAAAGAAAATAATTTGTGAAGATTTTCTAAGAAAATTTCTGATGAATTTATTAAAAATTAAAAAGAAAAGAAAAGAAATCTTTTCTCAAAAAAACTTTTTCATGTGTTTATGAAGAAAGTTCCAAAGTGAACAAGAAATTCTCTTTTCTTTTCGTTTCGTATTGCGGCTTGTCCAAGCGTAACTGTGTGACATTTTGACACGCTATTTTATCAATATCCCAACAACTAGAAACGCTAGAGAGTTCATTCAAACGTTATTCGACGCAGCTTGGCATACTCTATGTTCACTGCAAAGATGAATAGTTTCCATCACTCGCTCGAATTTCTAGAACGATTATGAGATTACGTAACGGTGTGACATAAACCGACCCTCAAGCTCGAGTACTTATAATTAATCCGTGATTTCTTGCCAAACTGTAAGTGAAAATACAATTTGGTAAGAATGAATTTTGTAGAGCTTTTCAAGCGCTTCACGATGGTAAAAAGAAAAGTTACCTATCTTTTTGCCTTAGGCTATAAATCCCACGATACAAACGTAACGGTGTGACAGTTTTTGTAACGATGTGACACAGTTTTTTCTGAGCCATTTTTCAGATACTTAGGATGATCAAAATGATTTCATTTTTTGAAGACTAAGTCTTTATGTGTAGCTAAGTGGTATATACAAAAATCAAATCGACTGATGGAAGTCGGAGCTCAAAACGTGGCCGTAATCGAGGAAACTACTCACAAAAGTACGAAGCAATCCTAGTTATCAAAGTGGAACCCAAATATCTCATTTTGTAGAGAACTGAATTCTGCATCGAATGATGTATCCTCAGGCTTTCTTTAAGAAATTTTATTTGGTAAAAAACCAAAAATACGATTTGTGAAAAGACGAAAACTAGATTTTGGATGAAAAAAATTGATTTTTACACAAAACGGACATCGTATTGGTAAACAGCGCTAAAAACTACAACCATTAATCTATTCAAACTTCGCCAACTCGAAAAACAAAATTTTCGAAACTTGATTATGGAAGCGTCACTTTGCGTGGACAAGCCGATTGATTGTTGAGATCGAATGAATTGTTCGTACTTTGTGAAATGTAAAAGAAAACGAAGAAATACCTTTACATCGATTTGGAACAGATGTCACTAGTGAAAATATAGACGAAAATTCGTCGTAATCTTATCTCATTTGCTCGTGTATCGTTATCTATTCGAAGGAGAAAACCGATGACTAATTCATCAAAAACTTCTCACGAGTGTTGACATTTTTCTTCACTTTGGCTTCAAATTTATCTTTAGAAATTCACATTTCACACTGATCCACAAAATGACAACGAATAAAACACAATGTTTTCTTTGTGAAAAACCCAAATTCACATATTCTTGTCGAGGTTGTTCAAATGAATTCTGTTTTGACGATTTAACGAAACATCGACAAGATTTGACTGAAGAATTCAACACGATTATCAATAATTATGATCAATTCAGAGAAAATCTTCAACAAACAAAAACAAATCCACAAAACTCTTCTCTCTTCATTCAAATTGATCAATGGGAAAAGAATTCGATCGAAATTATTCGACAAACATTACTCAAAGAAAATAAAGAATTTCTTGTCGATATTGAAGAGAAATCACCAAAGAATTCAACGATTCATCGGAAATCTTTCTTAAACAAGGCTCGCAAACATTTATCAAGAGAATCTCAGTGCAATCAACAAGAAGTAAGTCGAAATATATGTTTTTCTCATACACAACGTTGTTGAACTACGGACTCAATACGAAAGATCAACTGAATTTTTCTCTTCGCAGAATTAAAGTTGAATAAATGGAAATAAAATGGATCGACAATTTGTGGAGGAAATGGAAAAGGAAATGAAACCAATCAATTGTCTTATCCTCGTAGTTTATCATTTGATCGTGAAGGAAATCTTTATGTTAGTGATAAGGAAAATGATAGAATCGAGAAATTCGATCTAATTAGTAGGCATGTCACAATACCAATACAGTATTGGAGTATTGGTGTTTTTTATTAGAACTAAACAAAATAGAACTGAATAAATTCAAAGAATTCAGACTGCTGCGTGCTGGCGAGCATGAGAAGAGAATCTCTTTCAGAGATTCACAAGAGATATTGATAAGTGTCAATGACGAAAGGGCACTACCTTACTTTAAAGTTTAAATACAGTATATACACGCACAGCACTGAGTGTGGGCGCGAGTACTATGTTTAAAATAAAGAAATGCCAAATAGCGCTTATATTCCTATAGGTTTCTAAAAATACCAATACTATTGATATTGTTACATCCCTAGTGTGCGGTGTTGTTTAGTTATGATTAGGATCAGTTACACAACATAGCTTTCGAGAACATTTGTTTACAAAGCGCAGTTACTTGTTCTTTGATATGTTCTCAAAATTGGATAAGTCATATGGATCCTATCGTCACGTGTTCAATTCTCGCCGAAGGTTTGTTGATAATCGTCGAAAAGTGCGGATGTTTTCAAACGGAATTCAAAAGTTTCTATTTTGTCAATATCGACCAACGATTAAGTTCATTTGCGCGTCATCAGTTCGTTCGTTCCATGGATAACAGGTCAAATCCGTGTCAAACGTTATTTTAATGTGACTGATGGATGATAAGTATTCACAGATCGTCCGAGACCGATGTTTCGACATTGTAGCCGTGGTAGATGACGATCATCGAACGCATCGACTAACAACGAGCAATTTTAAGGCGGAAGTTCGAAATGATCGTACCGTATATCCTCAATAATAACAAAATAGAATCGCGTATAGTAATTCATGCGTTGCGAGATATTCGGAAATAAAGTTTTCGAAATGTATCCATTGAGAATGTTTATTTTTAAAAGCATGTTAGACAAATGCATTTTCAGTTTATCTTCCGTGTGTTTACGTGCGCTCTCGGAAGAAACGAACATTCCAATGACTCAATGTGTAAAAGTCCAACCCAGTGCAATTGAAATCAAGGATAAATAAAAGCTGTTTGAAAGAGTGACACCTGCATTACATCCATCGCCTGTGCAGCAATTCTGAAAGTAGCCACTACTAAAAAGAACGAGGTTGTATTCCGTACAGGATTGAGTATATCCTCGTCCTATGTGAATTACTTTCCCAT